TTTTTTTTTAGCGATAATATTACTTTTCTTCCTTTTGTCTGGACGCGAACATCTTAAAGGTTTCATTTTTATCCTGGCATCTATCCAAAACGTGTATCATGTAAAGTCCGTGAATTTTTGCCGCTTCTCGTCGTTCGTACCCCTCTCTCTTTCTCGTTTTTCATTAAACGACAAAAAGGAAGGAGAAAAACTAGCGTAAAAAAAAAAAAATTGTGATATCAATCGCGTAACTTGAAAAATGTCGTCTAAGAAATCGGTTAGATTTAAATTCTTTCTTTTCTTTTTTTATTTTTCGTATACCAAAGTTTGTATCGAACTTCTAAACAACAAATTCTATTCGCAACGGTATTCGATTTTTGTTTCGTCTATCAATGATCGATAAGGATCACACTACGATCTGTGTAGAAATATAAAATTCGTTATATTCAAATCTTCTTATCGTTGGTAGAAGACACAATAAAGAAATCAAATTCTTTTTTCGGGGACCACATTGGAAATAAATTTGTAATTCGTGCTGAATCAAGAGGGACCAACTTTAAATATTTATATCTACGTTCGAATCGTATAAATAACATTTGTAGGCTTGCCCATCGATCCAAGGAGACGCGTGCTTAACGCACACACGCGTAAAACGTGATTTACAAATCTCAAGAATTCGTATTTGTTGCGGTCTTGTTTTGGAAATATATATTATAGTACATTTAACAAAAATAGAATCTAAATAATAGTACGAAGAAATAAAAGAAAAAATGTGTAAACATATTTTAATTTCATCTTTTATAAGAAATGCATTTATATTATATAATAATATTTAATTAAATTATAATTTATATTATATATATATTTATACAAAAATTTCATTTCTCTGTCAAATAAACATTATTTTAATACAAATATTTTGATATATAATTATAAACAAAATACGTTACACAAAAAGATCTTCAATAAGAAATTAATAAGTATACGTTTATATGCAATTCTAAAGAAAATCCATTTATGCATATCTTATAATTGAAACAAAAAATTAAAAAAAAAAAAAGAAAAAAAGTAATAATAACCCCGTTTAACGTTAACTCTCAAGAATTACCTATATTTTATTAATCATACCGAAGACAAAAAAAAAATCGTATATAATTTGTAATAAGAAAAACAAAAAAAAAAGGGAAGAAGAAACATTTTTTCCAACCATTCTAACAAAATATTATATTTTGCATTGATATCATTAAAGACGAAAAAAAAAACAAAAACTAAAATGCAAAACGTTGTCAACGTTAACGTGACCAAAATTGTCTTTTGTTTTTCCATTTTTTGAAATTCATTAATTCCAAGTGTCCTCTTAATTAGACTTTCGAGAAGAGAAGAAAGGAAAAGCAAAGATTGTTGAGAAAGGCAGAAAGGCAGGCGTTGTTGAGAGGAAGCTGAGCTAACCGTCATAGTTGTCGTCGTAGTCGCCATTACTCTTATCCTAATGCTAATTGTTATCGCGGTATGTCGTTGCACAAGCGTAATTACTGCATCGTTAGAGTAGTTACGTTTTCAGGGGTCGTGGACACGCGCATGCGATATTTTATAAGTTGCCTCGGGGGGTTCTACGGACGAACTCTTTCCATGAGTTTCAACGTGTGCTTCGTTTCAATCTCTTTCTCATTCACGCACACACACACGCAGGCACGCGCACAGACACACACATAGATACTTTACCGCATACTAATTACTTATACGAATGCTCATTATCTTCTTAGTTATCTGTACAAAGAAGAAAATAATAGATACGAATTATTAACGCGTTTATCATTACAATTAGATATCTTATATTGAAATAACTTTTAATTTTAACAGTTTTTTTTTTTTTTATAATATAACAATAATTATATTTAATGTATATAAAAATATACATAATTATTCTCGATCTTTAAATGACGTATTTGTTACGTGTTGACATTTCACCATATGAATCTTGATATTCTCTAATTTCGGTTTTTCGCAGTAATATATTTTAATTATAGTTTCATTTTGTATATTATAGTTCCTGCAATTATTGCTTCTTTTATTGATATGATTGTATACGTGTTAAGTAATATTCCACTAGGTGTGTGTGTGTTCGATGTTAATGGTAATATTAATTATTACATATTGGCAAAGTAGGATGTGTACAAAAAAATAATTATCTCTCCATTTATCGTTTTAAATACCTTTCCAATAAAAAACACTTATCACGAGAAACATTATTTTTAGCGATGAGTTAAAGACATATATACACACACACATATATATATACGTGTATACATAAGTTTATAGATGCATGTATTTATATTTGTATTACGATTGAGACTTTTCTAGTCGACGAAGCAAATCGATCACATTCGCGATAGACGATTGTTCAAAAGCAAATATCCGAGACTAATCGAATCGTAGTAACATCGGGCAATAATATAACGACATATATTATCAATGACTATTCAAACATATTATATATAAGAGATCCAATACTTCAAGGATGCAAGTGTTACTTCTTCTTCTGCTGGAATACACAGGCCTCTAGCATAAGATTCTATAAAGTATATAACAACGTATATTTCAACACGGTCACCGGTTGTGCTTACCGTTTTACATGCTGTAATTATGCTCAAGGAATAAGAACAAAGATAAAGAGATCATAAAAAAAAGTAATAAAAGTAGAACACTCGTCGTTTATACAGATATACGTATATTAGATATACATAGGTGTATATATATATATATATGTTACCGTCATAGCCGGAAATCCACCATTGCTAGTAATTCCTCGGCATTCTCATCAATGCAAAGAGCATTCCGATGAAGTCGGAAAACTGAAGAATTCTTACAGTTTTTCCTAAGCATTGAACATAATACTTTGATGTTCTATAGAATCACTATTCACTCTTAGTATACAAAATATTTACAAAAACTTTTCAAAAATATAAGAGATTGCAATGCTATAAATTGTACAACTTCGCTAATTCTTTAAAAAGTTTTGGTAAATATTTTTTCTATTAAAAGTCAGTAGATTTTAATGAAACTTATATTAAATTAAAGTACACACTTTTGTCTACGCGTAGAATACTTTGTCGAGTTATAAATTGATCTGCAAAGGTTCAAAAAATGTCAGATAATGCAATGCTGTAAGTTGTGCATTTTTGCAATTTTTTTGAAAAGTTTTGGTAAATATTTTTTATACTTTTAGCAAATAGATTTTAATGGAACTTATATTAAATTAAAGTACACAGTTTACAGCATTGCATTCTCTGACATTTTCTGAACTTTACATTTGATTTGTATAACTCTACAAAGTATTCTACGTGTAAAAAAAAAAGAGTGTACTTTAATTAAATACAAAAATCATTAAAATCCGCTTACTATAAGTATACAAAATATTTATCAATACTTTTCAAAGAATTAACAAAGTTGTACAATTTACAGCATTGCAATCTCTTATATTTTTGAAAAGTTTCTGTAAATATTTTTTATACTAAGAGTGAATAGTGATTTTATAGAACATCAAAGTATTATGTTCAATGCTTAGGAAAAACTGTAAGAATTCTTCTGTTTTCCGATTTCATCGGAAAGCTTTTTGCATTGATGAGAATGCCAAGGAATTACCAGCAATGGCGGATTTTCGGCTATGACGGTATCATATATATACTTCTGTCTTGTTTCCATTTACAATCGACAAGAAAATTTTCCGGAATCAGCACCTGCGCGTTATTGCCTAACACTGCAAATAGTGTAATACATATATTATGATATTGAAACACGCGTGTTGGCCTAGTATCTATTCAAACGTGTTACGTTTCAAGTTCGAAATGATTAAATAAAACGAAACCTGAATTGAGACATAATTTGATTACAATATGATAACAATGAAACGTTTCTTAACGTTATCGAAAATAATCAACTAATAGACAATCGCATTTACCAATATTCAAATGAAATTGTTTTATTCAGTTGTTAATACAATAATTATTAATACGTTAACTTTAATCGATTGAGAATATGAATTTTATCTTTGCTTGTGTCTGTTCGATTACCAGGGTGCGCGTTTCCGGGACACCTCGCAACAAATACATAAACAATGGCAAGCTGATCCAGCTCGTGCATTTCCAACAGTCGGCAGTGTTGGTACTGGTGGTGGTGGTGGTGGTGGTGGTGGTTCCCCATCTCCAGCATCGGGAGACATTTCAACACCAAATTCAACACCGAGTCCTAGCCCTAGTCCGACCAATGGTCAACTAGTAATGGTAAGTTTTTTATTTTTTTTTGTTATTGTTTTCTTTTTAACCCTTCTTTGCATGATGATGGAAATTTCAATCATAATATTTAGTCAACAAAAAAAGGTACTCAAAACCCTTGTACTGTTTATTTGTTGTTGCTGGCAACTTCAAAAAAAAAAAAAAAAAAAAAAAAAAAAGAAATCATGCAAAGAAGGGTTAACCTAAATTCTATCATTCCTTTTAACTTGATCAAACGAATTTTTAATGATGAATAATATTTGTGCATACATTGTTTTTTTTTTTTTTTTCTTAAAAAAAGAACTTTCTATAAGCAACCCTATATTTTTTTTATTACGAAAGAATAATATTTTTTCGATAGTTTTATCTAATTAGCGAACAAATTGTCTCTCGATAATTAATGCGTCCCCCGTTATCGTTATCTAATTTACATATATGTATGTATGTATGCATGAATGCATGTATGTATGTATGTATGTATAGATATAGATGTAGATACGAGAGAAATTATTATACAAGATGATATTTTTCTATATTTGTTTTATCGTATCGACCAATTCGAAATACCAGTTGTTCTCATTCATTTTCTATTTAATTATCTTTTCTGTTTTTTTTCTCTCTCTCTCTCTCTCACACTCTCTCTTTCTCTTTCGTAACTCGATTTTAATCGAAAGAATCATTCTTATTTACATCATATGTTAATTTGTCTCGCGAAACGAACGAACTATTCGTAAATATTTTTTTTTATATTTCGTTCTCCGCAATTTGTTTTTAGCGAGTTAATAATAATAATAATAATAATAATAAAAAATGAATAGATAGAAGGAAGAAGAAGAATGAAATATTCAAATATCGCGTTATTTTATCCAAGTGTGAGAAGTTTCTCTTGTGTAAACGGTAAAACATCTTCTTCTTAACTATTTTTATCTTTTCTCTAACTCTCTTTCTTTCTTTATCAAGTAGAATGATATTCACGAAGGCGAAGTAACGTGAAACGACGACTAAAATGGCTAGCCCAGAGAGAAGTATTATGAATTGAGGCAGATGGCGCAGATATTATCTCAATCCTCCTTCTTCTCGTTGTTGGATGAAAAGAAAGAAAGAAAGAAAGAACGTTTTCTTTATTCCTTCTTTTATATTCTTTCTCTTTCCCTATTCTTTTTCTTAACGGTCAAAAAGGTCAGAAAAGTAGCGTATGATAAATCACGATTGTGAATCTTACCAAAAAGGGATTGGCTAGATATTATTTTTATTTTATATTTCTAGTCATTTTTTTTTGTTTCTTTCACTAGTTAAAAACAGTAAACAAGTTTTATCTTTATAACCGTTATCCGCGTGTATCCGTTCATCCATAATACACGCCTACAAAATATATCTTCGCATTATACGATGGAAAATAGAAAATTTGTGTTATCTATAGGTTCACCGGTTTAGGAGTGGTAAATATCAAGGAAACGAGAGAAAATGTTAGAGAGAGAGAGAGAGAGAGAGAGAGATAGAGATCGAGAAAATAGAAAAGGTAAATCTATGTGAGTTTCCAATAGGAAACCCAAACGGATTCTGAAATTCTCTCGGGGGGTGTGGGTGGGGGATGGAAAAATACCGATGAAGCCTGCGCTGCTGAATTTTGCGTCCATGTAGGTCAGGGGTGATAGATACACACACATACACGAGGGTGCACTCTCGTTCATCTCCACCAACGTAATTCACATCAGCGTTAGAAACGAGAGGTATACAAGCAAGGGACTAAACCTATTGTTTCCCTAAAGGCAAAGACTATCGGTATGCAAGTGGTACATCCAATTGAATCGTTCCTAGGGTGGCAACCATCTCGTCATCGACGATGAGAACAACGATGACTACAACGACGAGACGAGAACAGAACAGAACAGAGCCTCCAGGCTTCAACACGAACCTGATGTTGTTATTACTCCTACTGTTTGTTGTTACTGCTATTTTGCTTCTGTTGTTGCAATAGCTAGCTACTGTTGCTGCCGTTGCTATTGTTGTTGCTGCTGCTGCTGCTGCTGCTACTGATGTAACTGCTGTTTCCTTTTGTACTATCAATAGTGACGACGAAGACGACTTGCGAGCTTCGATTCTAGGTCAACTGTCTCTAATGAGAAGCTATCGAGCTTATAGAAACCAGTATACTAAACCTTCTCCCTCCCCCCTCTCCCTCATATTCGCATTCTCCCTACTCCTACCCTCTTCCTTTTCCTATTTTCTTCTTCTATGTTTCTATACAAACGTTCTGACAAATCGAATTTATTCTTTGTTTCCTATTTTATTCCTATTCCAATGAACGATCCAACGTTCGGTGGTGAATGTTTGATGTAAATAATTGTGATTAAATATCGCTAATGTGTTAAATTTCCTCTCTCTCTCTCTTTCTATTTTATTTCTTTTTTCTTTTTTCTCGCTTATAAGCGCGAGCGTCTTGGTGTTTTCATTGAAATTATTTTGAAAGGAAAAAGAAAAAAAAAGAAACGAATTAAAAGTTTTATAAATACATTGCATAGAACAACAACGATGAACTTTGTACATTTCAATATGGAAAACTTTTGAATAATGAATTATAAATCGTTCGTTTATAACATTTTCTTCAATTCTTTTGTGTTTTATATTAAGGAGAGAGAGATATAGTTTGTGTTTATATATTTTAATAATATTTGAAAAAAAATTCTATCCAATCAGTAGTTTAACGAGATTGGATGACTCAAGTGATATACGGTAGAATATTTCTGTCTACGTCAACAGGATTATTCTATGACATCATCGATTTGTATAATTTCGCTGATGTGAGAGACAACGCACGATGATTCCAACCGAGTTTCTCTTTTTTCTTTTTTGTTTTTTTTACACAACGTCGACCTAATTAAGCAATTATGACTACTGCTACGTTGGATAACCTCGTGACTCGGATTAAGTTGACCTTGGACAAAACACGCGAGCTCGTTAAAATATCGGCTGAAAGATAAACTAGAGATTAATTCAAGTTTTGCACAATCGCGTAACATTTATATATAGATCTACATATATTTTAATTTATTTTTTAAAAGTAATAAGAATATTAAATATATAGGTTACTGTTTTTTCATATGGTGAAATTAAAAAAAAAAAGAATAAGAAGATAAAGAATGAGGAAGGAAAGATGATGCCTTGTTAATCCGAGTCCACGTAGATAGAAGACCCAGTGAACAGGTCATCGTCTCTATTCTAATTACGTTACACACACTAACGTAAATCTTATAACGAACTATATACATACATACATACATACATACATTTGCCAAGAAGTTAAGAAGAAACTTAAGTTACCTCTATTCTCCCGATTGCGTAGGTCTTCTCAGGAATACTCACCAGCCTCGGTTTACCAGGTCATGATTAATCTTCAGACGTTTTTATAGCTAGTTATAAGTATACCTAACTATACACACTTGTATATAGTTTCTTCGTTCATTTCGCTATAAGTTAATTAACTCACCGGGTGGTTCGTCTTTCTATGATAAGACAACTAAATATTTGATAGATAATTATCATCTAACATTTTTCTATCCTAATAATTAATGTGTTTTAATCGATAGATCATAATCGTTGTTAAATCGTTATTCTGCAAATGATCGATTACAAGTATATATATATTCGTAAAATTCATATAGTGATAGCATGCACCAAATACATCAGTGAAAGAGATCGATTATTTGGGTTTATTTTTATACATTAATATTTATGAACATACACCAAGCGATCATGTGAATCATGACATTTTTCAATTTCGTTCTTTCATGGTAACATATATATATATATATATATATATATATATATATATATATGTATGGTTATCAGATTTTAACAGTGGTGCGTAGGGAATCCAATTGCAAAGATGTTTGAGGGAGAGTACAACAAGCAGGTCTTTGAAAATTCCACAGCTGGCATATTTTTCTTTTTATTTTTCTTCCCCTTTCTTCCTGGTAGTCGTTCTTGTCGGTCCCATTTGTATTCGAGAAATTTGTACGCGTGTCCTGTGTCTACTAGTTTATCGTTCGCCGAAAAATACGAGACTGGGCGTTGGGATATAGGGTTGACGTTGTTAAAACGTCGTCAGGGGCTGGAACGTGTTCTTCAATGGTGCAGCTGGCGGCTAGCTTGCTAGACGACGATTTTTCAGTCTATCCTGTAAAACGAGATAACGGATCTTTTTTCTTTTTCTTTTTTTTTTTTTTTTTTTTTCTTTTTTTTTTTTTTTTTTTTTTTTTTTTCCCACGTAACCATGTATATAAACGCGAGTCACCCTAGTATTTCACACTTTGAACTCTTGGCAATACTTCCTATCAAATATTACATTCCCATTCCCGATATCTCTGGCTCTAATCTCGATTCGATACTTTTTCATTTTAAATAACAATACCGTATCGGGATACCACGATATCACGATTTAGGGAATAACGGAATTAAGGATTAATAAAAATGGAAATAAATGTGTTGTTTTTGTATTTCCTGTCATTTTTATTCGACAGAAAGTATTGTAATATATTATATATACATATTCGTTCTTTATAAATAAAGAAAATAATTAAAGATTGAAATTATAAATTAGATTTCGATACATTGAATATTATTCGATGAATTTGAAATTTATTTATCCTCTTGTTTTTAATTCGTTCGATATTGTTCTCAAAACGTTCTTGTTAAATCAACGCGCGAATATCTCATATCTATTTTAACCAATAAAGTTGTTCGCTTTTCAACGACCCATTATCATTATTCCCTATCGCAAGTTAAGATTGATACGATCTAATCTTCCATCACAGTTCCAATATTCATCATAGTTCTTTATCGTTCAGTATTATTCAAACAATACCATTAAAAATCATTTCGCTACGTATAAATCGAAAACGTATACACACACACTCACACTTTATACCTTTCACAAAATTGATATGTAAATCGATGAACTTTCTAAGCTTTCACAAAACCACGATTTGAGAAAGTTTCTAATCAAATCA